GGTAGATTTAGTTTACTTCTAATCCAAATATATTTAGGTTCGGATTATCTATAATATGTTGATTATTTATAGTAAGGGTAGGCACAGGCCGGGACGGTCTTGGATTTGACTTGTCCGGATACCCATTCCACTTTTATGAATCCGTCCATGAACGAGACACTGTCGCCACCCATGTAATACATGCGTGTTGTACTAGTTTCTCTTATCTATAAAAAAGAGTCCCTACTTTCAATTTCTGACGTGTGTCCCTCCTTTCCTTGTGAAGCCACGTCGCCTTCTTCTAAACGACGTCGTTTTGTGTTTAATTGTGCCCTGCTATTTCTCTATGTGCGTCCAATTCCTTTACAGTGACAAAATTTTCATCCCAATTTTTTTAGCCTTCGAATCTGAATCTGCAATTCTTTCTTTTTATGCAAATCTCTTCAATTTTTTCGTTTTCTCTATGCGCGTCCAATTCCTTTACAGTGACAAATTTTTCATCCCAATTTTTTTAGCCTTCGAATCTGAATCTGCGATTGTTTCTTTTTATGCAAATCTCTTCAATTTTTTCGTTTTAGTTTTTGGTTCCGCCGATTTTTTAATCCTCCAAATCTCAATCTCCCTTCCTTATTTCCTATGCAAATCTCTTCGATTTTTTTTTTATTGGTTCCGGATCTCACTCGCGATCCGGCGGTGCGATTTTCCTCACCTATGGACCGATGGATCAAAGGTAGACGTAATGGAGTCTATGGACTCAAAGGGAGCAGATTGCGATCTTGATATTATTTCTTAGGCTTTCTCTTTTTAATTTTAATACTTTTACAATTTTAGTTAAATTTTTAGGGTTCCTGCGGCTAATGGCGTTGCTCGAATTTTTGCGTGTTGCTGGGCTCGCTCATTACTACAGGCCGCACACGAAGAAAGATGAAGATGACAAGAACTTGGTGTACAAAAGAGGTGTGACCAAGGGCCTGCTCATCCAGCAGAAGATAGAGGCTGAGGTGACTGCGATCATATTTGTTGTTGAGTTTTCTTGAATCTTTTTAAAGCCAATTTCAACCATCTTTGTTGTATGTTTTGACTGAGGTTTTAGTTTTTTTCTTCTGTTGCAAAAAATTAGCATTGTTCGATTAGTAAATCGTTTACTTTTAGTGATTTAGGTAGAATTTTGATGGTGCATGCCAAAGTTATGCTTTGTGTAAGATATACATTATACTTTAAATTGGATTGACTGTCATGCAAAAAAAAAAAGAGTTTTTCCTTCTCAAATTATTTCATAGCGGTGGTTGGGATTAGTTGTACATGAATCCTGACTTGGCAAAATTGACTATCTTGTTTTTAACAATTTTTCATTTTAAAGTAAATTATGCATAAACCTATTACACAAAAAAAAAAAAAATCATTTAGTATTTGTCAGGTTCAGTTAGAAACTCTTTGATTATCTACATGAGATTAATCATCATATGGTCTAAGATTATGGGTCAAGTTCATAGTTTGGTTATAACTAATAACTTGAGTGTTGATTATGCATGCGTAGCTGTCTGTGTATTTTGTTGCTTTCAATATCAATATCCCGATCCCGATCTGGATCAGGAATTTGTTTTCCTTGAAAGTTTTTTTTTTGTCGAATGAGAATTGTTACTCTCGAAAAGAGAAGCATTTTAAGATTGTTTCAAATTAGAATAAATGGCTTCTTGCCAGGGTCCATGGTAAACCTCATAGTTCTTATAAATTATCAGAAGTTTTCATTTTGACTGAAATCGCAATTTCAATATTCTTCAATATATTCTATTTCCAAAATCATCACTTTTGCCAGCCTTAATGAGTAACTGAAATGCTTGCAAATTATTTAATCTGTTTAGAGGCTCAAACCTGGTTAGACTTGGTGACCAATATTGAGATTGCAGGTTAGATTAAAGGATTTGTGGAAGCAGTAATGGTGATAATAGCTAAATTTTACCTCTCTGGAGAATTTTTAATGAATTTTTGGGTTTTACGAACAACGATTATAAAGTTGTGAATTGATACTTTAATCCATATAATTTCTCTATTGTGGTTGTCTATATCTAGCTCTGTAGGTTACATGTACAGTGAACTCATTCATTCACTGTGCATATTTTGGTTATTTCTAGCTTTAACATAATTTACCGACTTTAAACGTCGAATTTGAGCTAATTCAGATTCTTACACAGTATTTACCAGTGTACTAACATTTTCAGCAATCTGTAAAAATTACAGCTTTTGGCTCCCTTGCCTATTGTATTTGCCATTTTTGGTTCACTTGGCCCAACATCCCCATTACTGGCACCTGTTATCTATAAATTCAAACAACAGGGAAAAGACTTAACTATGCAGATTGCAACTTCTATGAAATAACACCGGGTCACCTGTTTTATCAAGCATTATGAAGCAAATTACCACACTGCTCTAAAGCTCTACATAATCGGTGAAATCATCAGCTCAAAAAAGACACCTAAACCAGAGTCAAGGAAAAATGAAATACCCAGCACAACGTCTCTAAAGGTAATCTATTGATCAATAAAAATGATGTACAATAAATCATTTCATGTATGCCAAATTTACAAACAATGCTTCTATTTAACATGTTGCATGTTGCAGTCATATGTACAAAATTTACAAACATTATTTCTATTTAACATTGCTTCTATCTAATCTAATCTAACAGGACGAAAGGAATCCAACCACGGGCACTTCAACCTCTGCAGCCAAAAAACCTTTGAACTTTGAAATAGACACACAAGAAGCTTCTGACATAAGCCCTTTGAAGAAAAATCGTGCCAAAACAAATTAGCTTTTGTGCATCTTAAACTTACAACTTTTGAATAGCCCAGGCTACCATACATTGACATTTACGTCTTTTACATATTTTGTTAGTGTAAGACCAGAATTTTAAACATCTATCCTCACATAACATAGATGATTACTAATTCTGCGGAAATTGTGTTATCTATGGAGTTTTTTTGTAGCACTTTTTGTAGTTGTAATTGGTAATGTCTGCTTGAGCATGTTTTGACAAACTTAGGTTTGAACCCAAAAAACAAGATGTTGTGAATGTATGATGTATTTTGATAAACAGGCTATTTTACCAAAATGTCTTATACTCATATTCATATAATAACATGTTAAATTTGAGCAACTAAATTGGGCCGGCCGTGCTGTGCACGGCGAGAGCATACTAGTATATATATATATATATTGAATTTCAAACATTATCACCTTTTAACGATACAGAAAACAACACGATGGAATATCATTATATCTTGATGATATAATCTCGTAAAATATACGAATTATACCTGATAATTTTTGTTTTTGAAATTCTCTTTTACCTATTTTTCGTGTTATTACAAATCTTTTTTTCCTGTATATTTGTTTGATATTTTCTTGTTTAATGTGATATATACAAAACAAACCCAGTATTATTTTCTATATATTTGCAGTAAATTTCTTGGTTTAATGTGATTTTTTTTTGTCGAAATAAAACTATTTTGATGAACTAATGCTGCAAAATATATACAATATATAAACATCGCATATACAGTTTTGAAAACAACTACAAAGTTGCAAACTCGGGATATTGTAAGTATATTATTCATGCACATATACATAATATATTCGTGTCATATACTTAATATGTAAATATCGCATATTCACGGTCTTGAAAACAACTATAAGTATATCATTCATGCACATATACATAACATAATCGAGTTATATACGTAACATATACTCAACATAATCATAAGTACCGATATATCTGCTTCTTGCGTTCGTCCTCCAATATCTACCTGTTGGGCCCCCAGATCACGCCCGCGGCCCCTTGGCCCGATTTGAAATTCTTGCTCGGACCGGTGACGACTCCATTCGCCCTCGCCTTCACGGTGAAGGCGTTCGCCTGAACGTGGCCGCTGGTGCCGGAGCCCCGATCGGTCTGCAACCCTATTCTGTTGTACATCGTTGGGTCTACAAAAATCGATCAAATTTCAACGATTGTGCGGATCGCAAGTGAAAAAACAAGAGAGAAGGAGGGGAAGAGGATAATGGGTCGTTGATAGAGAGAGAGAACGATGAGGTGGTGAGATAATGAAAAAGAAGCGAGAGGGAGAGAAAGAGAGGAAGAGAGAGACGAAGAAGAGAGATAAGGAGAAAAAGTGGTGATTTGAGGGAGAGAAACTGATGGGGTTCTTTAATATATGTAATTAATGCTTACATTAATTTTTGGTATATCTACAAATAAAATTATGATTTTAGGTACAATTGCTAATATTTATAATAGGGGTTTAATCTTGTAATAAAAATTGAAATTTATGGTGTAGGGAGTAATTTTCTCTAATTTATAAAGTGATGTAATAATCATGTTATGCAAAGTTACTTATGTCGTAATGCCATGAACCGCGGAACTTACTACTAACCTCATAACCCATTGCCCCAGCCCAATTAATAAATGGGCTTCTTATTATGCCGAGTAAGTGATCATACGATTACATATTGTGGTCGGTTAATAATTTAATTTCTATGTGGGAGACGACTTCTTTGAACATGGTACATACAAACTATAAACTAATTAGAAGGTTTCCCATTGAATTCGTTAGCCTTAATTTTTGTATACTAAATTATTTTTGAATTCATAAATATTTACATTTGTATACTAAAATGAATGGTTTAAAAAATCGGACTGGACCAGATCGGTCAGTTCGATGGATTAGACTAGGAATCGGTCAGTTGACCTGTTCGGTTTGCTGGAATGAACCAGTTGCTAGCGAACCGATTTTGACCGGTTAGTTGACTTGTTCGATTCGCTGGAATGAACCGGTTACCAGCAAGTCGGTTTTGAACATTCAAAACCGGCCAAAAATCGGCCCCGTCGGACCGGTTTGAACCGGTCTATTTTTTAAAATAAATTTTAATATATTTAAAAATATTTTTAATATAAGTTATTAATTAAAGTATTTGAATGTTTTAAATTAGCTTAGTATTTGCTTAACAAAATTTTATATATAAATTTTATTATATAAAATAATAATTATATACTTATTCACTCGGTTCAACTACTGCTCAAAACAATAATTCATCGAATTAGTAGCTTAACCTGTTTGAGGCCGTTTCGGTTTTCAGAATATAGTAAAAGTGTCGAAATATATATATCCAATGACATAAAATGTCAATTTAATATGATCTTAAAGCATGACTTTTCAGAAAAGAATAAATATAATAATATTCAAAATTATTTTATTAGTTCAAAACTGATCCCATCCCATGTAATCAATCAATTTTGACACCACATAAAGCAACTTCTATACATTAAAATAACAAAAATATACAACATGAAGCTCAGAAGAAGTCCAAGGATTTCACATTCTGAAACTTATCAGGTTGAATATATCTGCTTAATCTTATTAAATGGTCCAAAAAGCATATAATCTCTACACAATAGCGAATCCAAACCAAGACCAAAGGACGAAGCAATTTCATTTTACAAAAACAATATGTAAAACAATTAATTTGCAACAGCTTTTGGTTAAGCTCAACATCCCTAATGGAGGTGCCTTATTTCACTTTTGTTAATGCTGATTATTATATTTCACACTCTCTCCTCACTCATTGCGGACCGGTGAGTGCAGCGAATCAACAAGCGTATTGATTTTGCGCGGCGATCTTCCCATCACCTCCCTCGGCGCCCTTCTGTACAAGGGTCATCTTACGAGAGCGCTCTTTACAGACATCAGGCAGAAGATGATCGACCGGATCTCTAGTGTCGCATAGACATCTTTGTTTTAGGGGTAGGCTCGCGCTGATCAAGAGCACCCTCAGCGCCCTTCTGCCTCATCTCTTTAAGGTCCTCGATCCCTCTAGATCCACTATCTACGAGCTAGACCAGATCATGGCTCGCCATTTCTAGGGTCACAGGGATGGCTCCGAGACGGGGAGACAGATCCACTTGGTGAAGTGGGACTCTGTCTGTCGGCCTTGGGATTTGCTGCTTATCAGATGTTGTCATCGCTTTCTCTTATAAGATGTGGTGGCGTTTCAAGGAAGATAAGTCGCTTGAGCTCAGTATCTTCGCGAGAAGTATTGCCAGAGGCGCTTGTCATACATGTAGGGTGACTCCACCAATCAGGATAGTAGAAAGTGGAGGCGACTGACCAGGGTAGGTAGGCTTGCTCAGGAGCACCTCTTTTGAATGTTGGGAGAGGGGGATGTTAGTTTTTGGGATGAGTGGTGGTTTGGTGAGGAGCATTTTTCGAGCACTAGGCAGGTCAGTCACTCCCCTTACCTGCGGGTGAAGGACCTGTTGGCCGATGGGACGTGGGATAGGGATAAGTTAGGGAGGGAGTTGGGTACTGGAGAGGGTTTTAGTGACCAGTTGATAGAGCAGTTCCAACAGATTCCCATATCGGAGAATGGTTCGGAGGTGGAGACTTAAATGTTTGGGTATGTTTTTACGACCTCGGATTGGGAGGAAGTACGGCTGAGTGACTGGCCTAACCTCCTATTTGGGGTCATTTGGACCGACCTACTTACCCCTACCATCTCTGTATTCCTTTGGCACCTTCTTCTGCGCCGAATTACGATTGACTTTGTAGTGCAGGTGAGGGGGGTTTCCTTTCTCTCGCGGTACTTTTGTTGTGTCGAAACCGGTAATATCCAGACTAAGACTTTTTCTCATTTGCTTTTAGAGAGCGAGGTTGCGAGGAGAGTGTGGGAGCATTTTGTCACTTATACTCATATACCCTTACCTACTACGGATAGTTTCTTTGAGCTTCTGAGTTTCTTCTCACAGCGCACACAATTTAGATACATAGGCTTCCTCATTCCTTGTCTGATCCTGTGGGCCATCTGGACAGAGAGAAATAGTGCGAAGTATAGAGATACTACCTTTATGTGCTCTCACATTGTTTTGCAGGTTGATCGTCACCTATCCCTCCTCATAGCTTTGGCAAACTCACGCCTAAAGGCTGGACGGGATGCACATCGCCCCACCGCTTCGTGCCAAATTTGTTGTCGCTTGTCCACCACCTGCAGCACAGAGCTGTTGTTTGGCTGAGACCCTACCTCCCATAGGTCAAGCTGAACACTGACGTTTCTTTCTACTGACTCACTGGAGCTGCGAGAGGCGAGGGCCTGATTAGAGATCACAATGGAGATCTCATTACCGCCTTCCATGCCCCTCTTCAGGCCTCCTCGAGCTACAAAGCAGAGGTTTAGGCACTCCAGATCGGTCTTTAGATTGTAGCCTCTACCTCTACTCACATTTAGATTGAGCTGGATGTTGCCGCTATCATCACTCTCTTGACTTTCAGGCTACCAGGGTTTGTGGTAGATTCAGCATTTGCTCATGCGCATGAGATCCACATTTCAGTCAGTTCGCTATAACATCTCGCACATCTTCCGCGAGGGGAACCAACACGCTGACTTCCTGGTCAGCCTAGGTGCCTCCACTCCCCAGAGGCGTATTTTGTACCCGGACGACGCCCCTCTCCGCCTTCGTACTCTAGTGCGGATGGATCAGGATGACTACCCATCTTTCAGATTCTAGTAGTCGTTCTGTATTTTGTGTTTGACCTGCTTTGTGGTGCAGACTGGTTACCTGGGCACCTGTCAGCCCAGGGTCAGGCTTTGCATTTTACTTCTTGTTCTTTTCTTCATTCTATTTTGTTTTGTTTTTGTTTTCGTTCTCTATTTGGACTTGTATAAAAATGTGCTCTTTTCGGCTCATTTAAGGTCTTGACTATATATAGGTTGGGAATCCGGCCTTAATTCCACCCTGTTGTTCTTTTCGTTAAAGAAAAAAAGAAAGAAAAGTTGATTATTATATTTTGCCTCCGTGGTGTTATCAAATTCTTAAGCAACTATAATTCCAATATTATTCCACTTTCTTTATATTCCTTTGTTTTTTTAACAACCATCATTAATTAATTTATTCTACTTCATCCCAACATTTTCAACTGGATCCCTCATTTCCCGTTCAGGATTCTAATTCTTTATTACTGACTAAAGTCACAAAAGAAAATTTAATAAACATATCTAAAGGAATCAAAAAGAAATAAGCACATTATTGAACTTTGGATGCTACTTGCAGTTAGAGGATCACGAATGCCCATCTTTCAATTAGTATATATATAAGGGATATCTTAGCGAAATAATTAGTATTTTGGAACGTTACGTTAATTTCATAGGGGCTTTAATTGCTCAACTACTATTCTTCACAAATAAAGAAAGTCAAGGATCATAATCAAATATTACTTTGAAAGATAGCATAAGAGAGATAGTGAGTAAAAGAACACATGAATTCGTGCAAAGGCATATTGTTTTATGTAGTATACTAGTTGTCTTGATGTCTAAATTTAATAGATATTATGCGGATAGTTGACTTTTGCTTTGCAATGTACAATTGGCCCAAATTCAGTAGATAATCATGCGAAAATTTGGTGTTAGATAAACTAATGTATGGATCCTAATTCAATATTTAATTTATTCTCTAATTTTCATCAATCGATAAAATTGAACTCTGTTCAAACTACACTTTTTTTATCTCTAATTTTCTTCTACCTTGTATCGATAAAATAAAACCCTGATCAAATTCCAAAACATCAAGGAGCGAGCACTCACTGTCATCTTGTACTCCATGGTTGTGACGTTTTACTTTAGGGCCGACTATAAAAAGTGTAGTAAAGAAATAGCATACTCTCGGATTTTTGTTAATTAATTGATAATTATTAGTCCTAATTATGCATACGTTGTCTGGTACATTTTTTTGGTTTTGCTTGAAACAACTATTGTATTGATTAGCGTTGATGTAAACGACATATCAACAACATTTTAACATGAGCATGGACATAATGAGTTGCTGAGATGGAAATTAGAAAGGTTGAAAATGATTTAAAATGTATCAAACGGTTCCGAAACCACTCAGTTGATTAATTTAATTTAAGATTTAATATCAATTAATTAATTTAATTATTAACAACAATTAATCAATTTCTATATCTAAAACTTGTACAATCCAAT